GCAGATATAGTCCTAAATAAATTGATACATCCATATTTTAACATGTAGGCACACTGATTAAAAGGAATTGTGTCTCTGTGTCTGCCTGTGGAAAAATTGCCAAGACATTTTATTAATGAGAATATAGAATGAGTTCTAGAGTCTTTTCTCATATACTTAGCATAGTAGCCCTGTTTATGATAGTCTTTTACATAAAATTTTGCAGTATCTTACAGGAACAGGAATGTATGTTAATCTATTAATATTATTAGGAACAGAAAATCTAAGAGAATAAAGATGTAAAGTAGAGTTGAAGAAATTAAAAAAAAACCCTGTTAATTAGAAATACCATTATGAATTCATGAATCCCTCTCTCTGCTCCTCCTCCTCCTTCCTTCCCTACTTCTGTCTTGGAAGGGTCTGAAGGCAAGGACAGTCTCAAGCCACAATGATTTATACTTACCATCCATGTTACAGTTTCTAAATAGTTCTGTACTGCAAGACCTCAAGGCTTCTGGGAAAAATAGGTGATTCTAGTTTTGGGGAATGTATAGCAAGTGAGAAAACAAGTTCCTAAAAATGTTATTGGTTACATTATAAGAACCCAAGGAGTTCTCAGTGGCCAAATTAACTCATGTGCTAGTATTCATAGCAGTTTTATTTACAACAGCCAAACGGTGGCAATAATGCAAATGTTTATGAAAAAATGGACACACACACATATATATTTATATATTATTTAGCTGTTAAAATGAATGGGATTTTGGTACATACTATAAGAGATGAAACTTGAAAACATTGTGTTAATTGGAATAAGCTAGAATGAAAACAAATATTGCATCATTCTTCTTATATGAAGTACCTAGATTCATAAGGTCAGGAGTTTAATAGAGGGTAATATTAAGTTGGAGGGGGATGGGAAATTTTGCTTTTTGGTATGGAGGTTTTTTTTTTTTTTTTGAGATGATGAAAACAGTTGTATACTTAAAAATGGTTAAAATAACAACAAATTTTGTGTTTACATGTCTTACTGTAACAAGCAGTTCTAAAAAGTATTTGTGAAGAAAATTCTCCTTGGAGTGGTTAACATTTTTATTCTTTGCTATGGATTTGAATATATATTAAATAAAAACCATGCATTTGGAAATATAGCTATATAAGTGAAAAATGACATCAAAGGAGAATTTATATAATTTAATATAATTGAGGTAGTAGAGGAAAATTTTATATGATTATCTTTTCTGTTTTATGTTAATTTATAGACTAGCTATTTAAATTTATAAAATAAAAACTTTCCCCTCAGTATCATACAAAGCATACACACACAAGCAAGTGAGTGCACACACATACATCTCTTAGAAAAAGAAAAATGGTTTTTTTTTTGACCCTATAGAAAGTAATGGAATTTGAAAGTTTCTGGTTTCTTTAGTTTGTGGGCACAGAAAAAGAGGTGAACAGGACAAATAATAGGCACAATTAAGTGAAATAAAAATGTGAGTAAGCAAAACTGGGTAACACTGACATAACATTTGAACATGTAGTGGTTGAGAATTTGTGGTGTATTTTGGGACTTATTTTCTAATTTTAATTTTTTTCTAACCTTAATATTTCCTCTGTTCTTTTGTATTTTTTAAAGATGATAGTGCATTTTCAGTGTTTAACTTTATAAAGTTTCCAAATGCTTATGATATTTTAATTATGTGTTCAAAAGAGGGTAGAAAAGAAACAACAAACATTAGGTGACATGATTCTTACAGCTGCTGATACTTTTCCAAATAGCCTCTTTTGGGGCTTTTATCTTTCTCTCATAGTGACTCTACCTTTTTATTTGGAATTAGAGTTTCAGTGCCAAGAACTTAGAAGAATCTTGAGATTTTTATCCTTGCTTGCAAGCTAGTAAATTACTCAGCCCATAACTACAGGGATGTTGGTAGAAGATAGAAAACTCCAGAGTTGGCTGGGAAGGTGGCTCAGTGGTAGGGTGCTTGCCTTGCATGCCTGAGGTGCTGGGTTCGATTCCTCAGCACCACATAAGCAAAAAGAAAAAAGCCGGAATTGGCCCTGTGGCTCAAGTGGTAAAGCCTTGAGCTGAAGAGCTGAGGGACAGCACCTAGGCCCAGAGTTCGGGCCCCACGGCTGGACCCCCCCAAAAAAAACAAAAACAAAAAACCCTACCCCACAAAACTCCAGAGTTGATGGTGAAGGACAGTTTTTATCAAAAATTGCAATAGTGGTAGTCAAAATGTATCTTCTTCCTTATCACTTCTTCCTCTTTGCTCTTCTTTGCAGCCTGGATTGGCCTGAAACTCTTGATCCATTTGCTTTCACTTTCCAAGGGCTGGGATTAAAGGCAAGCTCTCTGCCCTCCCCCCCAACACAAAGTGCTCCTAACAAATGCTTGTAAGGTCTTTACTGATAGGAATTTCCTGTATTACTTCATTCCTCAAGTTTATGTCACTATTTGTGCCTTTTCTCCCTTTTTCATTTTACGAGTTGGTTAGTCTTGTTAGGGGGATTGTTGATTTTTTTTTTTTAAGCTTTCCAAAGAACCAGCTATTATTTTTTTCTGTTTTCACTTCTTGTTGTAATCCATTCGTTTTTTTCTTCATCATTGCTTTTCTGCTGCTTGCTTTGAGTTTGTCATAGTCATCTTGAGTCCAGTTTCATGAGATAGAAATAGTGATTAAGACCTCTTCCCTCCTCTTCTTCCCCCTCCCCATTTCTCCCTTCCCATTGCCCCCTCTTCCTCCTTACTTATTTTCCCCTCCTAGCCCACCTCTCCCCTCTATCTTCCCTCTCCCTTCTTGTGTCCTCCCTATTTTCCCTCCTTATTGGGTAGACTGGAAGTATAGTATCCGACTGGCCTTGAATTTGCAGCGCTGATTTTACTGGGATTACTGGCAGGCCATTTCTTTTTCCTTTCTATGTAGGCATTCAGTGCTGTAAATTTCCTTATAAGCAAGCACTGCCTTGACTGCATCATGAACGTTTTGATATGTTACACTTTTATTTTCATTTAGTTCAGAATGTTTTCTAATTTCCCTTGGGACTTCTTCGATATTCAGAGGTTATTTGAGTGTGTTGAATTCCTGTATTTGAAGTTTTTTTAATTTATCTTAGTTACTCATTTCTAGTTTAATTCTGATACAAGTAGATAATATATTTAGTATTATTTCAATTCTTTTCAGTAAATGTTGCTGTTTATGTAAACTTGGAGAAAAAGTATATTCTTGGAATAATTTGTTTTTGAATGGAAAGGAAAATCTCTTTGTAAGATGAGAAGGTCTTAAATTCTAATTGTAGCTAATGGGGTAATAGAAAAGGGTATTGGGAATTAGAATGCAATCATGTATTGTTAAATGTTGGTATTTTCTGGAGCATTTTTTGGTAGGCAGTTTTATCACTGTGTGAATATGATAGTGTGCACTTTGGCAAACTAGGATGGTGTGTAGATTGATCATTCCATGTGGCTGCTTTGTGTGATTAAGAGAGGTGGTGATGGCTACTAGAAGAGCAAGAGTATAATTTAAAATGATTACAAAACTATTGTACTATATAAACCAATAATGTAGTTCTTATCATTTTCAAGCAATATGCAATGTGTATAATTGTGTGTGTGTGTGTGTGTGTGTGTGTGTGTGTGGTGTGTGTGTGTGTGTGTGTGTGTGTGTGTGTGTGTGTGTGTGTGTGTGTGTGTGTGTGTGTGTGTGTGTGTTGGTTGTGGGGTCTGAACTCAGGGCCTGGATGCTGTTCCTGAGCCTTTTTGTGCTCAAGGATAGTGCTCTACCGCTTAAGCTACAGGGCCACTTCTGGTTTTTGAATGGTTTATTGGAGATGAGAGTCTCAAGGGGACTTTTCTGCCTAGGATGGTTTTGAATCACAAGCTTCAGATCTTAGCCTCCTCAGTAGCTAAGATTACAGGCATGAGCTATCGGTGCCTACCTTAGAATTGTGTTTTATACTAATACGTATTGGCAGCACAGTAGGTTTGCACCAGCATCACTGCAAAGTGAGTGAGGTAGTACTCACTGCTAAAACTGCTAATGTTTCACTAGTAGTCAGAATTTTTCAGCTCCATTATAATGTATGTGATCACCTTTATATTTGCAACCTGTCATTGACCAAAACATTGTGGTCATAATGGTGATATAAACACAGGGAGTTGTGCAGTCAAATGCCATTACCATATTTAAGTGGTGTCTTAAGTACTATAAGGCATGAAGTGATTAAGAATAAAAGAATGTGTTGTTGTTGTTTTCAAGTCCAGAGTAAAATGGAAGAGCTTCATAAATAAATATTTTGTTCTTTTATTCTTGAAATTTTTTACTTTGACTTGAAACTTGACTGAAAGATTTGTACTACAAGTTCATTTAAAAATATTTACAACTAACATAAATAGCAAAATTCATTTGAAAGTTTATACATTTCTTATTATAGCTATAATATGAAGTTTTTACTGCTAACAATAGATCTAAAAATGTCTCATCTCAATTTTTTAATAAAAAGAAATAGATATCTTACATTTTCCAACTTTATCGGCTCTCCTTTAACTCTATAGATATCTATTTAGATGCTACTTAGTGAAGTAATGACACTATGTAATAATTTTAAGAAAAACATGAACCTCTGCTACTCTGAGAAACTGTTAGTATTCTGTAGTTTTGATCATTATAATGCTTTAAGTCTGATTTGTGATCTAATAGACTCTGCCAACATCTTGATAACTTAATAGCTTGTGTGTATTACATGTATAGCTTAAATTATTTTTAAGATAATGAAAAGTTTATGCCAAGTTTTCAATGTGTGCTTTGGGCTTTAAAATGTAAATACCTAGCTAATATTTGGTGGGCCTTGTGCTTACTAGCCACGTACTTTACTACTTGAGCCATATCCTCCCTTCCCCCCACCCCCATGACCCATCATAATGCACAGATTAAATGGAATTCTTGGGTGGATTTTACAGAATAGGTACAACTCTGAAATTAAAGGATTATTTTTATATTTATTTATTTTTTTATTAGGGAGTCTGAATCATCAACAAGATTTTTAAAAGGCTGTCTAAATACTTGGTAAGTACTTATTTTCTGTGTAACTGTTTTGCATGTTACATCAATTTTTATATATGCTGCACTGATGTCATTTATAATAGTAAAATAGCAAATTGTATTTATTGTAATTTTTGCCTAGAATTTCTTTTTATAACAATTCTGATCACCTGATCCATTCTTTACACCATGTCCAGAAAATTGTTTTGGTATACAGTCTAAATATTAAGTAGTTAGTGTTTAAGAATGGTAACTTATGAATTAGACAAAGTCCCTACCTGAGTGTTTGTAATAGTTGTCTGTTAATTGCTGAAACTTGTTCAGATTTCTTTGGTCATTTTGCTCCTCAACTCTTTTCCTATATTAGATCTTGTTTGCTACAACATGGCAACATAAGCTCTATTAGCCTAGTGAGACTTTGTTATTTCTTATTTGGATTATATTGGTGTTGTTGTACTTAGATTAAAATAAGAAAAGTTTTGTAGACCAAAATATGAAACGTTTTGTAGACAGTTATATGTCACATTTGTAATTTTGCTAGGTAAGCTATTACTTTTTAATGTTTGAGTGAAGGTAAGTGAGTTAACCTCAATATTTATTTTACTTCATTTATGTAAAGTATTTCAGATTTGTGTGCTATAGTAATTATATAGATACAAAAATATGTTTTTATTGTTCATGGTAGATTTTAAAGTAAGTAGATACAGTTAAAAATGTTAGTGTTTGTAGTTTAAGGTTGTAATTTAAAGTTTGTAGTTTAAATCCCATAATCAGGTATCATAGTTTGTGGTTGTTTTAAATATACTAAAAAATTTAAAGACATTTATTTGATTAGCTAAGGGAGATTTCCTAGAAATATGAGGATGATATTTTATAATTTTTTATGTGTTTGAAACTATTCAACCAAATTCTAAACCAATTCTAAAATTCTATAGTAATTATAGCAAATATTTACTATTCAGAATTACACTATGCTATTTAATATATGCTTAAAATAAAGGTAATACTTTTTAGAGCAAATCCCTTGGCAAAGATCTCTATTTTTAAAAATTTTATCGTAAAGATGCCATACAGTTACATGAGTAAGCCAAGGAGTACATAACTTGTCACTGTTACCCCTTCCCTTCCTTCCTTGCTGTCCTGTCCCACTATCCCTTCCCTCTCCCACCTCCCGCACTCTTCCCCCAACCCCCAAAGTTGTAAAGTTTGTTTCCAAAATACTGTCCTCTGGGTATCCTTGTTACAATGGGTCATCCTGATTTTTTTTGTTTTGTTTTGTTTTTGTTTTTTTTTTAGCAAAAATCTCTTGAGCAGATTTTTTACTACTTTAAAATTCAGTAACTGATTTCTGGAGATGTATCAACTAGAAAAGAGTATACTGTCAATTTTCCCTGACTGCTATGTTTGAGCTACAACTAATTGTCTTTGCAGTGCATATGCTTGTCATGTATATTTTAGTTAGTAACTTTTTTTTGCTACTGAGATACAGGTCACATACCCTAAACTTCATGCTTTAGTGTACAGTTCAGTGATACTGTAGTGTATACACATTGTGTGCAGTCATCACTACAACCTTAGGATGCTCTTCATCGCCCTTCTCACTCCAGCTGTAGGCAACCTCTGATAGATTTTGTTTGTCTGGATTTGTTTATTATTTGTTTATAAGCATGGCACCACACAGTGTCTGCCCTTTTGAGCCTGATTTCTTTTACTTTGTGTAACATCTTCAGAATACAGTGTGTACAGTATTTCATTAACTTTTATGACAATAAAATTCATTTTGTTGATACAGTCAATAGATTGTATCTACTTTTTGTTATTAAGAATGCTTCTGCTCTGAACATTCTTTTATGATCATAATTTCATCATATAATTATAGTTTCATTCTTTTATAGTATTCATATATGTATAAATGTATATGAATGAGGTAGAATTGTTAAATGATATGGTAATTCTTCATGTACCTTCTTAGAAAGAGATAGAAAAGTCCCATTAGGCACAGTATGAGGGCTCCAGTTTCTTTACATCCTTAAGGACAGTTGCTGTACTTTTAACCTAGTTGGTGTAGAGTGATATCTTACCTTGGTTTTGCTTTTTTATTTCCTTGATGATGGGGGATAAGCATTATGCCATGTGATTTTTGCCCAGTAATTTGTCTTCTTTGAAGAAACATCTGTTTATATTCTTTGCCCAGTTTTAAAATTGTTATCTTTTAAAAAGTTGAATTGTAAGCATTTTTAAAAATATATATTCTGGATAGCAGACCTTTAGGAGGGGGGATTATCACTGCTTTGTTGATGGTAGTTATCGTTGAAAGCGTAAAAGTTTTACACTTTAATCAGTTTAGCTCATATTTTTGGTGAAATATTTTATAAATTTATCTTAAAGCAAATATTCATTGCTAGTCTAGGATTATGACAAGGTTTTAATTATCACAGGACCATAAGAAGCATTGGCATTTCCTGTGTTTGACAGCCAAAGCCCAAAGGAAGCAATTATTCTTGTATTTGTGCTTCAGTTATTCAGCTAATTGTTTCCAACAAAACCTTATCTTTGATCCCTTGTGTTACAATGAAAATGCTACTTGTTTATTGTTGTTTTATTAATACTAGTCTTGTGAATTCACTGTTAGTTTTTTGGATTGGAGTAGGGAGGGCCTCTAATGGTTTGGTTTATCCTGACGTGATTTTATACCTTAAGAAATTATTACAATAGACTTAACCGAGGTCTTTCAGTCTACTTAATCTGAAAAGTTTCCTCACCTTTATATTTTATGGTACTGACCTCCCCCTCCCCGCTTGCCCCTGGCCCATGGTCGTGGGGCTTAAACTTATTCGGGCCTGGGCACTGTCCTTGAGCTTTTGTGCTCAAGGCTAGTGCTCTACCACTTGAGCCATAGCTCCACTTCTGGCCTTTTGTGGTTAATTGGTGATAAGAGTCTCATTGACTTTCTTGCCTGGGCTGGCTTCAAACCATAATCATCTAATCTCAACCTTTCATAGTAGCGAAGATTGCAGGTATGAGCCACTGATGCCTGGCTGACATTCACCATTTGAAAGAGTTATTTTGTAAAAAGCACAGAATCCTTTGTTGGGATGTGTTATATTTAAAGTTTAATACTTTTCTACTAAAAAAGATTTATTTAAAACTGGTAATTTGTATAGACAAGTGTTTACAAACCTCTTGTACTTTTTTATATCAAAATATATAATTTCACATTTCACCTTAACAGATTTGCTTTTTCAGTGGATATATATTTACAAGCTAGACATGACAGTTACCATTTGTCTACCACTTGAAAGATAGATGCAAGTCATCCATAGAACTACTGTGAAATATCACTGACAGTAATTTTGCTCATCTATTGAAAATGACATCAGTGACAATTCAGAAACATTTTATATTTAGTATCATAAAATGAACAATTTTGGAGAAGTTTTTAATATTTTTGAAATAATTTTTGTAACCCAAACTGTTAATCCTGATGAGGGAAAACACAAGCAAAATTCCTAGAGAATATCAATTTGTTTTGGTTTTAGGATTTTTAAACACTCTTAAAAATTACCAAAGAATGCTGGGTGCTAGTTGCTCACACCTGTAATCCTAGCTACTCAGGAGGCTGAGATTTGAGGATTTCGGTATAAAGCCCCTGTAAGAAAGTCTGTGAGACTCTACCTCCAATTAACCAACAAAAAACCGAAAGTGGAGTTGTGGCTCACTTGGGCTAAAAAACTCAGGAACAGCACACAAACCCACAACAGTCAAAAAGAGAAAATTAAAAAAATAAAATTAAATTTAAAAAAAAAAAAGAAAGAGAAAATTAGTACCAAAGACTCCAAAAAGCTTTAATTTATACATCTTAATGTAAAGAAAAATAAAAGAAATTTTGAATGATTCATTTATTAAACTCACATGAAAGTCTTGTGTGTTTACACAGCTAACTTTTTTGAGGGGCTGGATAGCTATATTTTCTGAAACAATAAAAAATTAAAACAATGATACTTTAAAAAAAATTTCTGCCAATATATTTTGAATGTGGCTTAATGGAAGACACTGGATTCTATGTACTTATGTATTCAGTCAAATAGGATATTATATGCCATGTAGTCTTTGGAAAACTTGTCTGTATATTTACCGTGTGTTTATGTATAAGTATATACATATATATACACCATATACAGATACATTCATAAATACATATATGAGATTGAACTAAGTAACATATTGGTATTATTATAAATAGATTTCATGTAAGGGTCCCAGAAACACCTGGGGTCAACATTTTAGATTAACTAGTCATCTGTCACTGAGTTACTATTTGTGACTTATTTATAGGCTTATGTGCATTGTTTTTGTTTTTGTTTTTTTGTCCATGTTGTTGTTGGTTGTGGGGCCTGGATTCTGGGCCTGGGTGCTGTCCCTCAGCTCAAGGCTAGTGCTCTACAACTTGAGCCACACCGCCACTTCTGGCTTTGTCTGTTTATGTGGTGATGAGGAATTGAACCCAGGGCCTCATACGTGCAAGGCAAGCACTCTACCACTGAGCCACCTTCCCAGCCCCGTGTGCACTGTTTTAAGATAAAAAAAATCTTAAAAATTATGTCAGGTTTTTTTTTTTTTTTGCTGCGTTTTTACTTGAGGGGAATTGCTGACATTAGCTTATGTTTGCTTGTGTAATAAATTTGGTCATTGTGGAAGAATGGCCTGTTGCAGAGTTGTTTCTACACCTCACTTCATTCACTCATTCATTCATGCAAGGTTGTGCTGAAGATTAAATCCAGAGCCTTGTAGATGCTAGATAAGCATAATTTCACATCTTTTTAGACTACCATTTAACTGACTGAGCCCCATTTTTTGAGTAGAAATTACTATGAGTAGATTGTTAAATACTAAAGCAAGTTCTTGGCACTTAGAGTTATTTGAAGTTAAGGAGGAAAGCAGCCTTAAAAAGTAACTTAGTGTATTGAAGAGTAATTGTGGTACTTAATTTTAGTGAGCAAATATTAATGTTTCCTCTAGTTTTTAAATACATCTACAATAGATACTTAAATATTTTTTTTTCTGAACGATATTATGCCTGTTTTTCTGATGATTTTAAAAGTTTATCTTTGGTTTGCCTTCAAGCTCTATCTGTATACATCCTACAAATCAATAGTGTTTTAAATTAGCTGACATGGAAAGAAAATGATAAATAATGAAACTAGCCATATTGCTTACATTCTGTTTTATAGAACTAATTTAAGAGCCAACGGATATTGAGGGTACAAGCATAAGGAAAATAAAGTATTATGAGTCAAGCTATTTCAGAAGTATTCTATACTTTTGAGTCTTCTATTTCATAGTTTTTATTTAGAAACAATGGTGATGCTAAAGAGCTAGTAAAATAAGTTACTTTCATTAGAAGTTTTATGCATTTGGTGGGAGATTTTAATTAATATTTGTCTGAATATGTTAGATACAATGACTTATTTATAGGCTTTTGTTAATTATAAAATTACAAAATCATAAAATTCTCAAATTCTGATCATGCTATAGATTTGTTATCAATATCAGGTTTTAATACTTAGTACCTGTTCTTGAATTAATGTTTTCATTCCTTGTAGTTTCCTTATCTTGCATATTTGCTGGGAGTTCATGGGCAGCAATAATACCTTCTTCCCTGACATGGATCTGAAAATGTGCAGAATAGAATCATAGCTAGGCTTTAGAAGTTAATTTATTAAATCATATAAGAAACTTACATGGACAGTACTTCATGTTTTCCACAGAATGTATTCTTTCAATGAAATAGTTTGTGTAGCAGCAGCACAGGAAAAGCAGACTTTTGGCAATACCAGCTCAATTGCCTCTGCAGATGAGGATTTAAAATTCTGTGCAGCAGACAGTACTTCTAGCAGGCGAGTAAAAGGTTACTGCATTATTTTGTTTTTGCAGTCCTTATCTACAAAAGGTTTTTCTCTCTTTAATTCAGTGTAAAGTGCAGGCTTGCATTTAGATATTCTGGAAAAAATTGATTTAAGTATAACATGCATATCAAAAGGGCAGTACAAGGTGAAGGCAGAGGCAATCCTAGCATTTTTACTATTAAACCAGGGATGATATTGAACATGAGACAGACACAAATAAGGAACCTTTTATTGCCACAGAAGACAGGAAGTTTTAAAATTACTCACTTAGATTGAAGGTATTTTATTACTTTTAGTTTCTAGACTGTCTTCCCCAAAATGGGGCTGTTATCAAGAGTTGACATTTACTGAATAGATGTTCATTAGGTTAAGTTATTGAGGTATGATTATTTGTCTTTTATTCTGGGAATTGTAAAATGGATTATAATTACATGGCATTATAAATAATGATCTGTACTTACTATTGGGAGAGGTGCAATGCTTAACTATAAAAGATACTGGAGCATAGCTATTGCTTATATTTTCAACATGGTTTATTAGGTTTAAAAATTCTAACAAAATGAAATAACCAAGTGGGAAAAAATTCATCAAGATTCATGATAGCTTTTTGTTTATTGCCAATATCTATATCTATATAACCACTTGCCCATTTCTTCCTTACTAAAACTCTTCTCTCTAACATTTATCACGCTGGAGGGTTTTCTTGGATTATCTTTCTGTATTCCATTATTATCATTTGCATCGGTATTTTTTGCTATGGACTTTTACTACTCACTACTTCCAAAGTCCTTAGTATAGTATTCAGATAGAATTTTTTACTATGTCTATCTTCAATCACCCTCCTGCCCCTCTCCCACCAAACCTCAAAGTTTTGTATTGGCTACTATCTAAGTTTGTGTTTAACAAACAGGCCCATGTTTCAGTTTTCCTACTCAATGTTAGATTGAATAATCAAATCGGAAGTAGTTCTATAAATTAATCTATAGTATAGAAATAAAATCAGTTTGTTATTCTTACTGTGAGTGTTTGACAGGCTTCTTGAATTGTAGAGTCATAAGAGGTCAGCAGTTCTGATTGGTAAGTTAAAGGAATCCATCCAGTAATTTGCTCCCTGTTGTTTCTCAGAGTATTGCTGCAGCAGTTCTTTTCCAGATATTGAACGGTTCTTGAACGGTGTGTGGAGGCAGCAAGGGGTGGGGCTCATTCCTGTTGGTTGTTGAAATATTGTGCATTTACAGAGGGAACAGGTTGGATAGGCTGAGCTAAGGAGTAGACAAACAGAGCTAAACTGATGGGAAACAGAGTGGACAGTATAATTTTGGCATGTCTTGACTTTGTTCCTTTGGGCTTTAATATAAAACAGTTTGAAATATTAAAGCATCTTACCTTCTTAAGAGTAGCCTGGAGACTTCCGTTTTTAATATCCAGATTTTCTTGGCGATGAGTTTGTGGATATCTTCTGTAGGGAAGCTGTTGTTTTACTCTTTTTCTTTTTTTTAGCAGAGTTTCTTTCAGCCAGAGAGCTGCAGAATGAAGCAGTTAGCCAATTTTGAGTATATATGGGACATCACCAGTTCTTATTTTTTAAGTCAAATTCTCATCTAATGAGCAAGTCAATGTGTGGCTGTGGCTGCAGCTTTATTTCTTCTTTAATGAAGAGGTTGAGCCGTTCGACCTGCTGCTCCGATCTGTTCTCTTGTAGCCATACATCAGACCAGTTGCAGAGATTATCCATCGAATGTCCCAGGCAACCAAAGGTAACTACAGAGATTTATTTCAAATAAAAATGTACAATTGAAATGGCTGCATTATAAGTAGGACCAAATGATTAAAAATAAAAAGACCAATTAAAGATGTTCTTAGCAGTTTTCTTGACCTTGCAGTAGCTATCCAATATCATTTTGTCATCATCAGATTGTGTAGCAATGGAAATGCACTGCAGTAATTGATTTTGTAATAGGATCAGGTGATTTACTAGCTGCACTGACAACCACTTGCTTGCTTGCTTGCGCTGAGTGGTGGAGCACTCTAATGGATGTTGTGATTGCAGGCTGGAGTTGATGTGAGACTGCTGGCCACTTAAAGTAGCAATGACACTTATTTTTAAAATCAGAGTAGTTTTTCTTGGTGTTGTCAGTTTTGAGTAGCTCCAGTAGTCTCATATTTGAGTGCCTCCATGAAATTTTAGAGATTATCTATTATTTTAGAGATTATTATTTCACTTATCTTTACAAGTTAATTGGTTTGACTAGCTTTGAATTTAACAGGATAATCTGTTTACTTGATGTTTGGAGCTCAGCATCAGTAAACTTAGTAGTGAGCCAAGAGTACATGCCCAAATACCAGTTTTGTTAATTATTCTTTGTTATCTAAACAAAGTAAAGTATTCCTAGCATTGTAAATTTTACCAGTTTCATACTCTATAATTACAGTATTCAAGGTATGGGAATTTCTTGATTTAGTGCATTGTAGAAGAAAACTATTTTCTAGCCCTTTTTGATCTTTTGACTTCTTAGTGGTTTCATGGATTCAATACTTATTAATCTGGAGTATTTATTATTGCTAAGAATGTTGGTGAAACCTAGTTATTTTAGAGTCATGTTTTAAGGATATAGTAAACAAATAATTTCATATCCAAGGCTATGTAATGCTTCACATTTATTTCCAGTTATTTTAATTTTGTTTTCATCTTTCTCTGTTCCTTTTAAACAAATTATTGCTGACAAATATAGATGTACATTCCAGTACCTGGCACTTATGAATGTTTTAAAGATAAGGAAAGATTTTTTTATTTTTGTATTTTTTTGGGTTGGTCATGGGGCTTGAACTCAGGGCCTGGGTGCTCACCCTGAGCTCTTTTGCTCAAGGCTAATGTTCTACTACTTAGAACCACAACACCACTTCCAGTTTTTGAGTGTTTAATTGGAGATAAAGTCTCACAGGGACTTTTCTGCCTGAGCTGGCTTTTAATGCAATTTTCAGATCTCAGTCTCTTGAGTAGCTAGTATTACAGGCATGAGCCCCACTGGTGCCTGGTTAGTGGAAAGGTTTCTGTACCTTGCCTAAAACCATACAGCTTGGAAATAGCAGAACCAGTGTTAAAGCTGTACTTGAAAATTGTAAGATACTACAAGGTGCCTGTGGCTCATGTCTATAATTCTAGCTACTCAGGGCGCTGAGATCTGAGGATTGTAGTTTGAAGCCAGCCAGGACAGACTCTTATCTCCAGTAAACTACTTAGAAAAAGCTGGAAGTGGTGCTGTAGCTTAGATGGTAGAGTGCTAGTCTTGAACAAAAGAAGCTCAGGGGTAGCGCCTAGGTACAGAGTTGAAGCTCCAGCACTGGCACCAAAAAAAAAAAAAAAAGAAAAAAAAAGATTGTATTTTTCAAGTTTTTACTAACTACAGGTTTAGATATGGAGTATCAGATACACATAATCTGGGTATATACACCTGTGAGAACATTCTCTTATTGATTGGTTAATTGATTAGTAAGTTTCACATATTCATATTCTTTTGGTGATGATATAAGATTTTGGTGAGGAAGCTCTCTTAGTTCTTGCTTTTATTTGACTGCTGCTATTTTGGAGTGAAGGATGCTATATATAAGGTCATATCAGCAATTTCATTTGTACCTTGCTTGTACTTTTCCAGTCCTGAACAAGTTTTTTTCTTTTCTATTACTTAAAGAAAGTTTTTATAAGCCAGGTGCTGGTGGCTTTTTCAGGATTTCTGGTGGCTTTTTCATGATTACTCTTGTAATCCTGACTACTCAGAAGGCTGAGATCTGAGGCTCATTGTTCAGTGCTGTCCTTTATTTCCAGTTAACCACTAAAAAGCTGAAGTGGAGCTGTGGCTCAAGTGGTAGAGCACTAGCCTTGAGCAAAAAAGCTCAGTTATAGTGCCCAGGCCCTGAGTTCAAGCACACACACACATTTTTTAAAAATCTAAACTGTAGTACTCAGGAACTAGCAAGTTTATTGTTAACTTTTTTTTTTAAACAGCATTTCTCCAAAAAGTGATACAATAGGTTACTTTTTTAAATCCTATATTATTATGATCATTAATTTTCTTTTCTGTAACTTATATAATGAAATTGATCCCATTTTGTTTTTCTATACAATTTCTACTCCTTAAACGATCATTTTATTGTTACAAGTAAAACAAAGATGATTCTCTTTTTCTTTCTTAAGCCTCTTAACCTTTTGTAGAGGGAAGAAGGAATAGCTTCATTATTTCTAAAACTGAGATTTTTTTTTTTACACTATCCAGTTATTTTACTTAGAATACTTTTTCTAGTTTTGTTACAGAACATAGGTTTCTAGAGGTTGTAATTTCTTAGGTGTTTTGAAAATTTAAGAATTAGAACTGATAGGATTTGACGTTGCAGAATTCCTGACTTGTACTAAGTTTGAACTGTCACTTCAAAATTTTACATTATATATTCAAATTTGCAAATGTTGGGTAATGAGTTGGGAAATATATTGCATACTTTATTTCTCTCCAGAATCAATATATTTGTTCAACTCTAAGAACGCTAAGGTTATTTTTATCAAAAAGAAAAAGATATAGTTTAAATGTTGACATACCATCAGTTCTGAGAGGAAATGTGAAAAACATGAAAATGTGAAAAAGTGTACTTCTTAGAATTTATGAAATCTGGCAGATATGTATTATGATTTAAGGGCTCTTTTGGTAAGGAGCAAATCCATGTTAATTGAATTGATACAATTCAATATGTATTTATGCAACTGGGCCAATTATTTTTGTTTATTTACAATCAATTGACCACCTTTCATGTGCAGAACCATATACTAGGTCACGTAAGACTTTTTTTTTTTGCCATTCCTGTGGCTTAAACTTGGGGTCTGGGCATTGTCCCCCAGCTGCTTCCAGCCTTTCTTGAGTGGTGTTTCTGAGATAAGAAGTCTCATGGACTTTTCCAGCTGGGGCTGGCTTTGAAATAAGCTCCTCAGCTCTCAGCCTTCTGAGTAGGATTATAGGTATAAGCCACCAGCACCTGGCTACATAAGACTTTTTCTCTATTGGAATTTATATGGTCTAGGGAATATTACTTTGAGACTAAGATTTTTTAAAAGCATTCTTTTAAAATTATGACTAGTGAGACATTGTATTAACCCTTAATAAAATGACTGAAATACATTATACAGTAAACAGGAATATAGCTAGAGACAATTTAAATGCAACATTCCAAATACAGAATAGCTTTATAATTTGGAACTATCTTCACCTCTTATTATATATTTTTATTTAAAACCTTTAGATTCTTAGATCTTTTTATGTCATTGCTAAATAGGAAATGCACTACTTGTTCCCTATCTCTAATACCTTTTAAGCTCCTGGTGAGTTACCACAGTGTAACAGTGAGTGGAGATCTAAAAATCCACTTAAATTCTGAACAATCAATTTGGGGTTGCTAAGTGTTTTGTTCTTAGACAGCAACACAAGGAATTCAAATTTATGTCATCTAAATTACAGATTGCTGGGGCTGGGAAGGTGGCTCAGTGGTAGAGCACTTGCCTTGCATGCATGAGGCCCTGGGTTCGATTCCTTAGCACCGCATAAGCAAAAAGAAAAAAGCCGGAAGTGACGCTGTGGCTCAAGTGGTAGAGTGCTAGCCTTGAGCTGAAGAGCTGAGGGACAGCACCCAGGCCCAGAATTCAGACCCCCACACCTGGACCCAAAAAAAAAAAAAAATTACAGATTGCTGCATATCATACATAGGTTGATAGAGTCAAAGCCTCAAGTCTTAAACAGTGTTAAGGATTTAGAATATTAAAAGGTCAGCTAGTTATCAGCAAGTACAGCAACATTATGAAAATTAGAAACATCATATAGTCAAGAAAAATTGCTTTCTATTCTTGAAATTTAAAGTAAAACTAGTGTTCATTGCCGTTGCAGATTATTGACTCTGACATCAATTGACTGACTATGCATAAGATACATCTAGGAGTCTTGTTAAAACTGCAGGTGATGACTGGGTAGATCTGGAATGGGACCTGAGATTCTGCATTTCTGACAAGTTCCCAGGTGATGATAGTAGTGTTGATTGAAGCCTAGATTTTTTAATATATACATAGATAGGCTGTACTCACTTTTTAATTAGTTTTTTTTCCCATTACTTCTGAAAGAGTCTGTGTAGTGCATTGCTATGATAGTGTCCCTTCTTGGTCATAACTGTAGTAATTCCCAGTCTCAAGTTCATCTTCCTTATCTTGACACATCAGTATTTTCAAGTCAGACCCCACCTGTCTTGAACCACATCTCAAGTGTCTCAGCTTCATTTCCAGCAATTTCATGACCTACAGTTTAGTCTTAAACCCCGAAAACTGAATATCTTACGTCAGGGACCATGGACAACTAAAGTATGGGCATGAATTTTGGGGTGTGGTACAAGTTACTGAGACTCACTAATTCTAGCATAAATAGGCTTAGGACAGATACCATTTGGTTCGTTTTACTTATCTTTTTATTTATCTATTTACCTTTTAATCTATTTATTTATTTATTTTGTCGGTCATGGGGCTTAAACTCTGGGCCTGAGCGCTGTCCTTCAGCTCAAGGCGAACACTCTACCACTTGAGCTACAGCGCCACTTCCAGTTTTCTGGTGGTTTTTATTGGAGATAAGAGTTTCACAGACTTTATTGCCCTTTTTTTTTAAAAAAATGGGTCACAGTTCAGACTCATTGTCCATGATATCATTATTATCATCTGTGACTTCTGTTTTCTCTTGCTAATGCAAGATACTAATTATTGCATACCTAAAGACTACTTTGCTAAGTGGAATGTCTCAAATAATCTGAGTTTAAACATGGCATTACTAGCTGTAAATTTTTGAGAATATGACCATAATCTGAGGTTGTTTCCTGTTTTGTGAAATAGAAATGATGATATTTAGAGTTCTGGATTAAATGACTACTAGTTAGTATGGTGTTTTTAATGGGCAATCTAAATGATTTTTGCTTTAATGAAAATAGAAGAATCTATTAATTTGAATATAAAATGGCTTTATATCATTAAGTTTTTCCACTTGTATTTTGGTTTCTGTATCTTGAGTAACTGAATCAGTATTGTAGGGAAAGGAAGGCATAGTTTTTGTGGCTTTACTTCTTCTTGTTTTGAGTTCTTTGATTTTTGTCTAGGCAAGAGGAGTAACTTGAGAATGAAGAAAGCCTTCTCAGAATCTCCAGGATCTAAGAAATAGCCTTTTGAATAGCCCTGTATGTAAACCAGTAGTCTTCCTAGTTATTGGAATGGCTGAGTTTAGTGGTAAAATCCTTCAGCAGCCCTCACTGTGATAAGGAATTTGAGTTGTGACCCATCCACAATGCTTCATCTTAGTTTTAGGATGAGTGTACAACACAGCATTGTTTGTACCGAAATTAAGGGTATGTTGAAGTTTGAAAGTGCTTTACAACTGCTGCCTTGGTAGGTTTGTCCAGAAATACTATTCTATAACCTGAAAAATGTTTTAAATTTCTTGTGTGAAAAACTGCATATCCATTTTACTGATTTAATCATTGTGGCAGGGTTGCATTATTTCTAACAAATAGACATGTTTCTATACTAGAAAAGAATGGAAAAAAAGAACTGTCTTTAAGTGGATTATAATGTATCTTGTTGTTAGAATCATTCCTTTTGTTATTGTGGAGTTTTGTGGTGGTGATGGTGGTTTTAGATTTTATTTTTTTGTTAGATGAAGTCATCACTGGACAGAGATGGAACCAGGCTAGAATGAAGTTCATTTAGCCAGGTTTCTTCTATACTTAGATATAACTCCTAGAAAGTTTTAATATCCATGTATTTTACAAAAGTGTTAGTGTGTGTTTTTCCTAGTGATTTTTAAAAATTATTATTTTTTATAGTTACTAGGTCCCAGTGTCTAAGACATCTACCTCCCTCTGCCCCGCCTATAAACACGTGCTTTCTGAAACCTATGGGCAGCACAGTCCAGCAGTATCTTTCCCAGTATGTCTACTCAGTCTTTTTGCCAAGAATTTGAAGAGGAAGATTGAATGATTGTTTCTGGGAGTCTGTGCATAGTGAAGGTCTGGCATATTCATGTAAATGAGGTCATTGTTTAGCTTCAGCAGGGGAAGAAATCTAGGCAGGAGTTTTTGAAATGGGAAACAGATAAAGCAGCTAGTTTTGTTCACCTGCATTCAAATTGCATACTTTCCAAATGAAATCTCCTAAATGAGAATTCAATTTCTAACTTTCTTTCCTTTTTCTTTTCCTAATCCCTTTCCTCCTCCTCTTTCTCCTTTCTCCTTCCCCTTTCTTCCGTCTGTCACTCCCCTACCCCCCACCCATTCATTAGTTCTCATACTTTTAAGTTGGTGATTGTGCAGCTGAAAATGACCACCATGCATGGTACTGGATTGCCCTATAATGTTTTTGTGTGCTGAAAGACTGATGAATACCTTATGGAGAAAGTAACATGTTAGATAAAGCTTCATTCTGGCATGAGTTATATATATTACATAAGATAGTCTGTGATCAGAATAACCCATGAAAATGATGCATTAAGCTGTTTTTGTTTGTTTAGTGTTTTTTTTTTTTTGTCTTTTTGTTGTAGTATTTTGGTGCTAGTGTCTGTCTTGAACTTAGATATCTGGCTGGCATTTTTGCTCATGGCCGGCACTCTACCATTTGAGCTACATCTCCAGTCCAGTATTTTGGACTCTTCTGACAGAACACTCTTTGAATCATGTTCCTCTAGGTCTCATGCTCCTGACTATCCAGAATTACAAGCAGCCACCAGAGCTTGGCTTATAGTACTGTTCATGAAAAATTTTGTAACCAGAAGTTTATAAGAACCATTTTTTCCCTAGAACCTGGAGTTCAAGTTTATTAATTCAGTGGTTATATCACAAAGAAAATTAACTGTTTAATCATGGTTATTGTAGAGACTTTATGTGTTGGGAATATTGTAAAGACCCTGCCTTACCCCAAACTCTTGTTTCTGCTTTTTAAATACTTGCTTTGCAATATTGTATTGTGGAACCTGATTTTATTGTGGGTTCTGGTCATATAAAAGGTTAAGTGTTTGCATTAAAGAAAAATGTCATACTTTTTTGTTAAAAATTTTGTTTGGAATTGCTGGGGATTAAAGAAACATACCCGATTTTCTTCCATAATAATAATAAGTATCTGAGGCATATTGAGTGTGTAATGAATATTTGTTTAGAGTAATGATTATTTTTATTTGTTGTTTTTTTTTAAAAAACTTTTGGTCATCCTGGAGTTGGAACTCAGGGCCTCAGAGTTGTTTAGTTTGCTTGCTTTGCTGGCACTACCAGTGAGTCATCTCTCTAGCTTACTTTTTTGATGGTTGTTTTTTGAGATGGAGTCTCATGATCTTTTTTGCCTAGAATGGCCTCAAATTATGATCTTCTGGATCTCAGCCCCCTGATAAGTAGGATTACGTGCATGAGCCAACAGTGCCTGGCTTGAGTAATAATATATGAACACTATAATGATCTTAGTTTTGGAAAAGAAAGCAGTATTAATGTTAGAGAATAATCTTTTAAGATTTTATTATGTGTTACTATAGACTGAAGTACATGAAAGGTTCAGGTAAGTGTCGGTTCTTGTTTGCACTTTGCTTGAAGCTAGCAGTCTTGATCTCTTTGAACCTCAATTGCCTCAGTTTCCTTGTCTGTGAAGTGAGGAACATTTCAACTTTAGGATTCCTTGGATTTCTTTTATTGAGACTGTTCCTGCCCTGAGTCATTTCCATTCTCATGATGTCAGTTTGCCAAGAGTGCAGTTTTTTCAAAATTGTGCAATATGTCAAAATACATTTCCTATCAAATTTTATCATGTCACTAGTTATTGGTAAAAACATGAGTTATGTATTTGAGATGGTGAATTATGTTCTTGACATTGTGTACATCTGTTATAAACAGAGGAATATCATTTTTTTTTTTTTTTGGTCTAGTTGTGGGGCCTGAACTCTGGGCCTGGGCGCTGTCCCCAGCTCTTAAGCTCAAGGCTAGCGCTTTACCATTTGAGCCACAGCGCCACTTCTGGCTTTTTTTTCCTTTTTGCTTATGTGGTGCTGAGGAATCGAACCCAGGCCCTCATGCATGCAAGGCAAGTGCTCTACCACTGAGCCACCTTCCCAGCCCCTGTTTTTTTGTTTTTAGGGCATGGAATACTGTTTGTTGATATTTGTGTTTTATATGACTTAATGTTCTAAATCACACAAAGTTTTCTCTAATGAGAATTAGGTGTGTGTGTGTGTGTGTGTGTGTGTGTGTGTGTGTGTGTGTCTGTGTGTGTGTGTGTGTGTGTGTGTGTGGTGGTGGTGGTGGTGGTGTGTTTTCCTCCCAGTTGTGCGGCTTTAACTTGAGGCCTGGGTGCTGTCCCTGAGCTGTTTTGCTTAACCACTTTGAGCCACAGTGCCACTTCTGGTTTTCTGGTGGTTAATTGGAGATAAGCATCTCCTGGATTTTACTGATTGGGCTGGCTTTGGACCACCATCCTCAGATCTCAGCCTCCTCAGTAGTTAGGATTACAGCTGTGAGCCACTGGTACCGGGTGAGAATTACAGTTTTAAAAGCAAAATAAAGTTTAAAATATAAAACTTTTTTAGTAACAAGTTTTAGGTCATGGTGTTTAATTTTTTTTAATGTAGATAATGTGTTAACTTTATGCTCAGCAACCTTGAACTTGTCCACTTAAGATATATCATCAAAGGCTAAAGTTCAGTAACAAACCTGCTGAAGGATGCTCCATCAGACTCTGAGCTGAACCTTTGTTACAGAGCAAAAGTAAATATTCCAAATATAAAATTTGAGAAATACAGCTAAAAAGAAATACATTTAAAACATCTATCATATTACTTCTGCTTTAAAGGTGATTTTGAAAAACTATCTTGCAGTCAATATAAAAATCATATTGTACTTAGAAGATAATTTCTTAAAAGATACCCTTGTCTTCATATATGTTTATGAACATATTTAAGGATGTACACACATGACCTACCTCATGAATTATTTTATCTTGAACATCTGGCTTTTGGTTTTTATTTTATTTTTATTTTTGTCTCATTTTTATTCTTTTGTGGATGAAGCTGAAATGAGCATCTTCTGTATAATTTTTGTTTGTTTTTCTGTTTTAGGATTGCTTCCTTAGGATAGATTGCCAGAAGTGGAGTTACTGGGTCAGAGGGTATGAACTTAAGAACTTTTTCTTTCTTTTTTTTTTAATAGAATTTTTAAGTCTGCTGTCCAGTTGATTATATTCATCGAGAAAGGGAAAATACTATGACTGTATTTGTTATAGGACTATAGCTGATGGTAAGATTCTATGATTAGAAAAGTTTTGGGGAAATTTCTAGGATATATAAACTTTGTGAACATGATTTACCTCAGCATTCCCCGAACTTCAGTGGGCACTGAGTAATTTTTTTGTGAGGCACTTCTTAATATTTTGTGTCTTACACAGGGTAAAATCTTTGAACTGATCCAGAACTAATTTGTTTTATTGGTTAAATTATATTTATGGGCTAAAGCAGCTAGATTAAACTAGGAATAGTTAAAAAAAAGGATACTAAAGGATATTAAAAAGGATAGTATGAGTCTTTAAAAGGCCCAAAACTTTAATAATTTATACTTTCTACATTGATTACTAAAGATTATGTTAATACCTAGAGAGTATCAAATGCTTTTGTAGTCTTTAATAATACTTTGAATATAGACCTATAACATGAAAGTAGAGATAATATTTTTTTCCTCCCTGTTTTCTCACAGAATGTGAAAACCTTTGCATCTTCTGATAGTCTAGCCAAGGTCCAAGAAGTAGCAAGCTGGCTTTTGGAAATGAATCAAGAACTGCTCTCTGTGGGCAGCAAAAGACGACGAACTGGAGGCCCTCTGAGAGGTAACTCTTCCTCAAGCCAGGTGGATGAGGAACAGATGAATCGTGTGGTAGAGGAGGAGCAGCAGCAGCAACTAAGACACCAAGAGGAGGAGGAGCACACTGCAAGGAATGGTGACATTGTCCGAGCAGAACCTAGACCTGGAGACCAAAATGATTCCCAGCAAGGACAAGTGGAAGAAAACAACAATCGCTTTATTTCAGTAGAAGAGGACTCCTTGGGAAACCAAGAAGAACAAGAGGAAGATGAAGAACATGGTGGTGAACAAGATGAGGAAGATGAAGAGGAGGAGGAAATGGACCAGGAGAGTGATGATTTTGATCAGTCTGATGACAGTAGCAGAGAAGATGAACATACACATAGTAACAGTGTCACAAACTCTAGTAGTATGGTGGACCTGCCCATTCACCAGCTCTCCTCCCCATTCTATACAAAGACAACAAAAGTAAGTATATTCAGTTTATGGTAAACTTGACATAACTTTCATACTTCTATCTTAATTGGGACAATGGTATTTTCACTGTCTTTGTATTACTGCCAATGAAACTTCACATCTGAATTAATATAGTGAACTAATATTTACTTTATAGAAAATATTAGAAAGTATCACAAATAGAAATAGTGATCATGGGGTAATAAAAAAAGAAGGAAATTGATCTTGTTTGCAATGAAAAATTAGTAACATCAATTTTCTGCTCTCTGCTAGGGCAAAAAGGGATTAGTAGTTTGTGTGGGGTATAGAATCTTTGGGTGAAATGCAATTTGTGTAAAGCAATGAAAAGTCTTTGTAAAGTATGGCCAGTGTCATGTGTTACTCTTAAAAGGCAAAGGCATAAATTATTGGAAATTGCCTCAAATTAGTTCTTTATCATTTGAAAATTAAGTAGAAACCATTAATATTATTATTATTATTATTAATAGGTTAACTATAGTTGGGAACAGAATTTTTTATTTTGAATAATATTTATAGATGTAAAATAATGTTTTTAGTAGTCCACTCTTATTTGCTAATGTTTAAATTTTACAGTGAATCACTGATGTAGCCCATAAATAGTACATAACAGATTTGATATCATTTCCTTCCATCTAACTTGACCTACTATTGAAGTATCTTAATTCATATGGGTAAAAATTTGCATTGCTATGATATTTTTGCTTCAGTTTGTAAAACTTGGACTCTTAACAAATATGTTTTTATAATTTCTATAGCTCATGTACAGTTAGCTTTTATTTAGCTGCTGTGACTTAGGAAAGAAATGATATTATATGCTGGTTTTCTACTTTACCATCCTCTCCTCAAGATGTTAAAGCAAAAGCTTTGAATCTCTGCCAGATACATCTACTAATGGCAACTGTAGCCCCGTTTTCTTACCCAGCTCCTTGTCTCCTAGTCTTGATTTCACTTTCTCATGGCTACTATATCAAAAAGAAAATTTCTCCTTTTCCTGAAGGTTCAGCTGGAGGAATTGGGGCTTTAGAATTTCAGATCCCAGTGCATTATCTAAATAGGAAAAAGTTTAAGCAAAACCAAGACTTGTTGAAGAATGCAAATCAGTTAAGATTTTGGTTACATTTTAAAAGTAAAAGGCTCAGTGTGGTGGCACATACTTGTAATTCCAGTTCTTAGGAGGGGATCTTGAGTTTGAGGCTAACCAGAGCTGAACTGCAAGTGACAGACCAAGATCCTTTCTCAAAATCACAACAAGCAGAGTAAACATACCAAATCTAGATAGGTAACTCCCCCCCCCCCCCCCCCCCCCCCCAAAATGGAGACGTCACCACAGCATTCTATAGATTAACTAGAATTACTCTGATTTGACTGGTGTTTTATTTTTGGTTTCTCTATGTAGCCATAAAAGAACATTTAGGTATTCCTTATAACTGAAAATAACTTACTTAAAAAACAGCCTTATACTTAAAAAACAGCCTTATGGCCGGGCGTAGTGGCTCATGCCTGTAATCCTAGCTACTCTGGAGGCTGAGATCTGAGCATCGTGGTTCAAAGCCAGTTTGGGCAGGAAAATCCATGAGCCTCTTATCTCTAATTAGCCACCAGAAAACAGGAAGTGGCCCTGTGGCTCAAGTGGTAGAGCACTATCCTTGAGCTCAAGTGCTCAGGGACAGCATTCAAGCCCTACAACAATAACAACAACAAAAAGTAAACTAAGCCTTGTAAAAACTCAGGATATCTTTTTTTTTAGTAAGTTTTTTATTGTGAAAATACCGTATAGAGGGGTTACAGTTACATGAGCAAGGTAATAAGTACATTTCTTATCAAGCATTGTTGCCTTCTTTGTTTGTTTTTCCCCTAGCATCCCTTCCCTCCCACCTCCTCAACTCCCCTCCCCCATCTCCCCTTCCCTGCCTAAATTGTAAAGTTTGTTTTTTGACAGACTGTCTTGTACATACAGGTTGACCCATTGCAACAATGAGATGTACAAAAGACACTATGTCAAAAACTCACGGTGTCTTGATATATTTGTTTAAGCTTTTTCTTTTAAATGTCTCACTCATAACCTGTTAAGATTTATTTCAGATCTGTCCTATGAGGTTGTATTTCATATCATTTGCTGTTAGGGATGTTTCATTTAATTCTGAGAAAAATTCTGTCCCTCCTTTGTAACTTACATTGTAGTAATTAGTTACATTCTGTCTTGTTTTACTTATTTATGGGGGGTGACATACTATGATCTCAGTATACACTATATCAATGAGGGGTACATTCTTGGATCATTGTTAACTCTGCTTTCAAAAAAGTTGTAATTTGAAATTATTAATTGCTTAAGGTCTAAGCAAGTGAAAGACAAAGCTAGTGGTAAAATGTATCTTGCTTATAAATTAGTGTTCTGTCCCTTAGACACAAGTAGGAATACATACAAATATTTTTTAACCTATAACAAGTTTAGGGCCCTTTAAAAATTCTCAAGAATACCAGTTTTACAATCATTATCCAGTAATTGCTCATGTATGTGATGGCTCATGTCTAATCATAGCCACTCAGGAGGAGATAGGCTTGAGATTTGAAGCCAGCCTAGACAAAAATTACAAGACCTTATATAAAAACAATTAATTCAAAGCAAAAAGGGCTAGGGACATGGCTTTAGTTGTAAAGTGCTTGCCTATGATCCTGAGTTCAAACCTCCATACATCAAAAAAGGAAGCACTGTCCTCACCATCCCCATTTAGCATTGGGATCTTTCTGTAGGAAAAACTTAAAGCATCCTAGAATTCTTTTGTTCAAAATAGGGAAGTACTTCAAAAGAAAGTATGTAAATCTACAAAAGATAGAAAATAGCTTTTAGTAGAAGTATATTTTGCGTACTTAATAATGATTTTTGCTGTAGTTTTTCTACTAAACACTAGAGGGCTCCGTAGCACCTTATTTCTATGATAGAGCTGCTTTCATGGGTTTAAAAATACTATGCTTGTCTCTTGTTCAGAACTTGGAATATTTGGAGCAGTTATGTGCATTGTTTTATACCTACAGAGGATTTTTATTTTAAGTAACCCAGTAGGGTTTTTTCTGTTTGTTTGCTTGATTTTGTTTTTGCTAATTTTATTACAAAAACTGTTAGTGACTCTTGGGATAAATGTCTATTAAGTTCAAATTTACTGTGATTTGGAAATTTGAGTATACATTTTGAAAAAGTCTCAAGGATCTGCCTAAAATCAAAACTCTTTCCATGATTAGTTGCTCTGGGCTTCCTGAGCATATATATGTGAGAAAAGAATGACATCTAAAGTGTCATCGTTTCGTTTCCTTCCTTCCTTCCTTCCTTCCTTCCTTCCTTCCTTCCTTCCTTCCTTCCTTCCTTCCTTCCTTCCTTCCTTCCTTCCTTCCTTCCTTCCTTCCTTCCTTCCTTCCTTCCCTCCCTCCCTCCTTCCCTCCTTCCCTCCTTCCCTCCTTCCCTCCCTCCTTCCCTCCCTCTCTCTCTCTCTCTCTCTCTCTCTCTCTCTCTCTCTCTCTCTCTCTCTTTCTTTCTTTATTCTGGTACCAGGGTTTGAGTTCAGGACCTCATGCTTGCTTAGCCATTTGTTTTGGCTGGCTCATTTACTCAGTCAGCTGGCAGTCTACTTGTTGATCATACCACCAGCCTGGAATTTTGCTGGTTATTTTGGATATGGAATCTCACAGACTTTTAACCACCATCTTAAAGATCTCAGGTGTCCTGAATAGCTAGGATTACAGGCATGAGCCACCACCCACAGAGAGTTTCATTTATGTCCAAATTAACCCTATTAGCATAGAAGGTAAGGCTGTGAGGTTTATCCACGGAGGCATCTTGAACTAAAGACTATTTGAACAGTTCAGTTGATTTTCCTCATTTTCTTCTGGGATCTTTTAGGGAAAGAAATGAGGTTTGTAACCACAGGCCCTAAGCAGGTAGTTATGAATTGAAGTAAGCTGGTAGTAAAATATAGTTCAGCCACTCATAAGAAGCTACTCCAGTATTATTCAAAGTGGAACACTGAACTGGCTTCATGGGAAACATTTGGAGTGCTTATTTAAAAATGCTGGTTGGGAAGAGGTAGGAACATAGCCTGAGTGTTAGAGTGCTTATCTAGCATGGAAAAGGCCCTAGGTTCAATCCCAGTGCTACAGGATACTGCAGTAAAAATTAAATACGGTAAAAAGGAAAAAAAATATGGTGAATAGAGATGAAGACAATAGATAAGATTAGAGATAATATATGCACACATCAATTGTATGTGGAAAAAACATGGAAGTTAGTGAGAATATTCCACAATCATTTAACTAGACTCTAGGGTTAAGATGTTCATTTTTAATAAGCTTTCACATGATTCTTATGTAGATGTAAGTTTGTAGAAAACTGGCCCATAATTTAATATCATTGCTAATTTGTGATGAAATTATAACAACAGTATGTTGAGTCATCAAGTGTATTAGAATCATCAGTAGTGGTAGTCAGGGAGTGTCATCTCTGAAGGCACATGAGAGTGTTTTCAAATACTCATCTCTGCATAGTAAGTTGATTGTGAAACATTTAACCTCTTCATGTGGTACAGATAAGGATGGTGGTAGTAGCTGTCATACAGTGTAATTGAGGAGTCAGTGAAGTAATGTATGCAAGATACTCAGGTATCTTGATAGTTGTAAAGGTTAGCTTATTACATCTTTCATAAGGGCAATTCTAATTCCATAGGTGTATGCTAAAACTAGGTTAACTAGTTCAGCATAAATAACATAGTACCAAAATGTTTTTCTTTCTTAAGATGCTCTCTCTTAAGTGAGTTGAAACTGTCCTAGTGATTTTTGCCTGTTATTATGGCTTTTAGTGTAAGAATTTTAGCTCTTTGTTTTGTTAGTGCTAACTTTTGGTCCCTAGTAAGTAATTATTTGTTAATGCTAATACTATAGAAAGATTTTTTTGGGGGAGGAACCTAAAAGAAAAATTTGATAATCTTGGGCATTGAATCATAACA